GAGAGAGAGAGAGAGAGAGAGAGAGAGAGAGAGAGAGAGAGAGAGGATTCTTGGCTTAGTCTCTCTCTTCATCCCTGTCATTAAGAGTCCTTGGTTCTAGAGATTCTTCTTGAATATGGATTCTTGGATGTTGGGTTTGATTGGAGCTGCCTCATTGCTTGCTCTGATACTCCTGATTTTCTTAACTCTACATCTTATTCTGGTCACAAGATTATTCAATGGCAGAAAGGTCTCCCTTTTCGATAAACAGTTCCAGGCTCATCCTAATGGTAAGCTAACCCATGAACCCAATTCTCTATAAATGTAATTCTGGGTCCTATTGCCTTTTCTTTCTTTTCATTTCCTTACTGTTGGTAAAAAGTTTAAACGTTAAGAGAATGGTTTCTGGTGTTTCAGATGGTCGACTCCCAGTTTATAGCTTCAAAAAAATTCACAAGTTCAGTGAAGGATTCAGTAACAAAGTTGGGGTGGGATCAACCCACTTAGTGTTTAAGGGGATATTGCCTGATGGAACAGAGATAGCTATCAAAAAGCCTATTCTGGAAGCTCCTCATAATTCTGATGTAGATGCATGGTCTAAATCTCAGGCATGGTGACATAAATTTCTTCTTAGAATAATTTCTCCTAAACTTGATTGTTATTTGAGAATGATTGAATTTTGGATGCCTTTTTTTTTCTCTCTTGGTTGCTTGAATGTGCAATGTCAAGCTTCTGTAGTGCTTACTATACTTTGATAAGTTTTCTATGACAGAATTCAGTCACCAGAACCTCAATACATGTCTTACTAATCACAGATTGAATATGCATGGACTGATCTCTCTCTCTCTCTCTCTCTCTCTCTCAACATACATGGCAGCTTGAGCTCTTGTCATGCATTTGGCACCAGCATTTGGTGAACCTCATTGGAAGTTGTAAGAATGCTGGTTATAGGTAAGAGACACACAAATTCACCAAATATCTCTTCTTTGTGCATGATGAAAACTGAATCTCTTTGAGCAATATGTTTCATTCTCTTGCAGAATATTAGTCTTCCAATATGCATCAAATGGGACACTGCATGAGCATTTACATGGTATGTGAATTCTGTCTGATCCCCACTCTCAATCTCCGTTGACCAATATTTGTAAACCCTTTCAACATTTCAAGGAGCAAATCAGAATGTTTTGAGTTATGTACATTTTTAAAGTGATGTATATCTCAGTAGCTGCTTTGTTGGGTTTTGTATATTCATCTAATTCAACCAGAAAATCCTTTAATTAATGGCTACTTGGTTTTGGGCTATGCATGTTCAATTAAATGAATGAGCGAGTCCATTAATTGATGACCATTCGACATAATTTAAAAAATATTGCTCAAAAGAAAAAAAGTTATACAAATTTTAAATAAAATATCGATGTACTCTTAGTTTTTGCTCCTGCATTCACCCCTCAATTATGATACAGGACATGAACACCTGACATGGAAGCAGAGGATGAAAATTATAGCTGGGGTAGCTTATGGCCTATCATTTCTACACCATTCCTGTGATCCTCCTATAAGTCACGGCAATCTCACTTCACGTAACATTCTCCTAACAGAGGATTATGCAGCAAAGGTATCATTTGAAACTCTCATTCCTGCGTTCCAATCATATATTAGGTGGTTTCTCTTAAGAGATGTTCTGTTGCTACAGATAGGAGGTCTTGGTAAGATGCCAGTCTTAGGCAGCTCAGAATTCGTAATGGCAAGAAAACCAGGTGCTTCTGAGAAGAGGCTATGCCGTCGAGCCGATGATGTATATTCATTTGGGATTTTGGTACTCGAAATCGTATCAGGGAGGCTTGCTTTTAGTGAGAAGACTGGTTTCCTGGTTAAATGGGTCAGTCTCCACCTAACCATGTAGAGCTGTAATATTTCTAAACATACCCAAAAAAAGCATAACTCTACTTTGTCCTTTTAGTGAGAAAACTATTTCCTTGGTGAGTTAGTCTGTAAGCGGACATGTTTGATTTTCATCATTCTAAACTAACACTGAAAAAGAAATTATAATCCAACAATGTTATTTTGACTGGTTTTTGCTATATATAGCAGTCTTGACAGCTTCTTGTTTCTTTGCTTTGATGTTCTTTAGGCAATGGACATTTTGGTGAGCCAAGAGAGGTCAATGGAGCTGTTAGATGAGGCGGTTGGTGATGTGGTGAAGGAGGAGGTTTATGTGATTGCAGAGGTGGTGAGGATGTGCTTGTTGAGAGAGGCAGTGAGAAGACCGTTCATGAGAGAAGTGGCAGAAATGTTAAGGAATGGTTTGGGAATTACCATGGAAATGGCTGCACCAGTGAGCAGTCCCGTGAGTCTAAGAGGCTTATTTGACATATTGTAAAAAGAAGAAAAGCCAATTCCACCCTGCCCGTCCCCCCCCCTCCTTCTGTCTTTATATATACATTATTCTCTTTGTTTCATTACTTCATTGTAACCTCAAAATGGTGGACCCCCCTCCACATATGGCCTGGTGCTTTGGTTCTCTCTTCCAACCCCATCTCCTCTATTGTCTTTTTCTCATCGATTTATTGTAGCCTCCAAATAGTGGAATCCCCTCCCTCTATCTCTACTTTCTTTGTGTTTGGTTGAGTTTGTTGCCAAGTAAGAGGCCACCAAAAAATTGGGAATGATTTTCTTATCTTCCGAACTAATTTTCAGTGAACAAAATAACCTCTTCTTTCAGATACAAGCTGTTTACTGTGATGAGTAGATGCAAATATGCGAATTAACGCTTCAAGAGGACTAGAAGATTCTCCATAATCTCTTTTCCAATGTCCATGCATCTCCACGCGCACACACAGTTACGCATAAGAACAGATGAGGCAATGTACCATCTCATAAATAATAAATGCAAAAAACGTTTAACAGGAGTAAAATTTGACAGCAATGAGAGGACCACTTGTCTGAGCTCATATCAAGAGCCTCACAATATGGTTTAGAGTTATGATGCCTTTTATTTATCTTTTACCATTAATCACCAAGTTATGAATTTTGAATTATTGTGGTTATCACTATTTAATGGACAGGTCAAACCAGTGTTTAAAAAAACGTCGAGTCGAACTGGACTCGTCCGGTTCGACTCGGGAATCGTCATGGACGGATCGAATCGGCAAAAAAAAGGCGAATCGTTCGGTTCTCTCTAGAACCGGACGATTATGCACAGTGAATCGCCGATTCACTGTACGGAATCGAGGAGTCCCGTACAGTGAATCGGCGAGTCCCGTACGGAATTTTTTTTTTTTGTTTTTGTTTTTTGTTTTTTTTTTTGTAATCCATGATAGATTTTTTTGTAATACTTGATCGATTTTTTTGTAATCCATGAGCGAATTTTTTTTTTTTTTGTAATTCATGATCGAATTTTTTGTTTTTTGTTTTTTTTTTGTTAACCCATAATAGAATTTTTTGTAATTCATGATCGAATGTTTTGTAATCCATGATCGAAATGTTTGTTTTTTTTTGTAATTCCATGATCGAAATGTCTTGTTTTTTTTTTTGTAATTCCATGATTCGAATTTTTTTGTTTTTGTTTTTTTT